GAATAAATAAGATTCGTTGATGTCGGTTTTAAGTAAATTAGGGAGAAAGATAGTTATCTAATGTGAGAGTTTTCACTGAGATAAATTAGTATTGGTATAACAAGTAGTACCTTTGCCATATCCGCCATAGCTTCCATATCCACCTCCGTATCCTCCATATCCGAGACCGCCATATCCGTAGTTGTATACTGGGAGGACGAAGGCCTTACCATATCCTCCGTGGCCACCGTATCCTCCGCTTCCAAATCCTTGAGAGAGTCCTCCGAGACCTCCGTAGCCGTAGTAAGGATAAGACAGGCCGTAGCCCAAGCCGTAGGAGGAAGAGGTGCTGAGGTCGTTATTCACGTCTTTCTTGACCAAAGTCTTCTCCGTAGCTGGGGCTTCCACTTCCACAGACTTCTGTTTAGCCTCATCGGCGTAGGCGATCGCAGCCACCAGGCAGGCGAGTACCTGCAAGTGTACATTATTACGTAAGAACTAAACTTATAAACATTTCAAAACTAACATAGTTCGTTCATCCCACATAGCAGTATAGTAAGTGGGCGGGGTGGCCAAATGGGCTAAAGCGTGTGCACTGCACCGCCGTTGCCCGGCAACCTGACATATGAATCAAAGAAAAAAATAGTCACGAGTTCGCATCCCGGTGCCGGGGGTCTTTTAAAATCCCTGTAGTAACATTTTTTTCTCCTGAGTACATGTTGCTTTGTCGCTTATGTGTGATGTGATATTTCAGGTATAAATTTATGCGATCTTATGTCAACCAATCCGATATCAGTAGAACTCTTTGTGGTTGGTAATTTTCAGCTATTTGAAATTGTAAAGTCTTTGTATAATTGAATAATATTTATCTATTAGTTTTTCTTTTTCATATTTCATTTTTTTTTTTTCATATTTACAAATTTTTTCTTAGTTCATATTTATTCAGCAATCATTCATAATCAAAACAATCTCATTTTCTTCTATTTTTTAAAAATTACTTTCTTATTTTGTTTAGTAACTATTAAAGAGTATTATCAATAAAATAATGTAAATGTTATTTTGTTCAAAATCGCTAAGCTTCGAAAGTTCTTTACCGAAGAAATTTTAATTTAATTTTTACTAGTTAGGGAAGAGGTACTGCTGAGTACTTTCCTTCCCCATGCCTGTCATGTCATGTAACGCTATCACATTTGCTGATTGTCAACAATAAGTTGACAGGCGCAAATACATTTTTATAGACAAAAAAAATTTAATACAACGTTGCAAATGAATTTAGGACTGTTTTAATATACATTTCATTACCATTTGGGCTTTTGTTTCCAAATGGCGGCCGAAAAACTTGAGTTTCTATAAGCTATAACGCCAAAAAGCCTGGATCGATTTTAATGATGCTTGGCTAAAGTCTATTCTTTGAAGCCCCTTAAATTTAGGTATACAACATACTTCTCCGAAAAGAGGCTGAAAAAAAGTAACTATGAATTCAGAAAAGAGGCTGAAAAAAAAGTAACTATGAATTCAGAATTTTATTTACGAAGAACTCCGTTCGGTTCATTAAACCTATGACTATTTGAAAGCTTCGTGAATATCCTAAAAAAAAACGCCGAAACCTAAAAGAATAATGTCAGATAAGACATTTTCATCTGCTTTATATTTTTTTAGGAGAGTTCTCTTATGACAAATTTGCATATAGTATGAGTGCAATGTTGAAATTAAAAAAAATGTAATGTAAAAAATATTTTGAGTTCAAATATTTTTTAGATGAAATCGGGATTTATATTTCCCCCCTGGATAAAATCTCAAATACGAATTTTTATAGCAAATGAAAAATGAAAATTATGTGCTTCAAATTTTCATTTAATCAGCAAAGTAGATGCATATATTTTTTAGAGAAAAAACAAAAAAAATATGGATTAACATTTTTATTTGCCAATAACATAAAAAAAAAAAAACACAAGATACCGCAATATTTTCTTTTGTAAGCACATATTAAAGTGAATAGATACGTGTAGAAAAAAATGTTGGAGACATGCAAATTTATTTATGTTTCCTTCAAATGTTCTGTAATGATTATGGCCAAATTTAGCATATACTTTTTCATTATATGAAATATAATTATATATATTTTGTTCGTTTTAATATTTGTAATATAATAAATGAAAAATGTAGGAGGATGCCTAAAAAATATTAACCGAGAGCTACCGGAATTTGAAGCCTGTCTCTAAGACTTGTCCAGTTGCTGGATATTTGCTAAAAATTAATGGAATATAAATACAGACACTAAGGTGTTAAGAGGAACCAAGGTTGGAAGGTTTATGGTTATCCAGCGTGTAATAGTCTAGCCTTACTGGAAACGGGGAATTCATCGCCAATTCTATTTCTCATGACGAGGTTAGATCTCAGAGATTAATTTCAATATTATCAAGGATACTTCGAAGGCAAATATGAGCGATCTCACGTAAATATAATTGATTCTTTAAATTTGTTACATATTACTTTCTTTTTTATCTGATAAAATTGTTCGAAAAAAACTGGAAAAAATAGTGCATAATCAGCATTCGTTATAAAAATAATGAATGATGTTAAAAATTTAGATGATTATCATTTAAAGGTTTTTAATAAGTTCGATTTTTTTCTCGTTTGATAGCCCACAAAATGTTGATGATCAGACAAAAAAACGATTCCACTACATTACATCGAAATTATTAATGTATGTTTAGTTGGAAAATTTATATCTGTACCGATAGGGAATAAGATGAGGTGGGGAATAGAGTGGGTGATTGCAGTGTTGAAAAATAGAACTGTGAGTAAACATATAAGGTTGAGAATTAATATATGAGCCTTTCAGTTGGCAGAATGACTAACTCCAATTTCAACCTTTTTTTATTATTTAGAATATTTAGTGGGAAACTTTACTTTATTCAGCTCGATATTTCAACACTGCAACCTACCTACTCTGGAAATAACTTACTCACTATCTGTAAAGATATTAAAACATTTCCAACTAGAAATATCACTAAAATTACTTTACTCAAAAATGTTGAAGTAGGAGTTAGTCATTCTGTCAGCTGAAAAGCTCAAATAATAAAAAAATAATATGTAATAATAATAATACATTGAATATGATATCGATATGATATATTCATATCTATTCAAAATTTACTTTAAAAAGTGGTTCGCGCTAAGATTTCACAGAGGTTGGTCTCACAACTCAAACTACTCAAGCTCAAACTATAAAAAAAAAGTACAATTAATCTAATAAAAAAAAATATAGGTCATTTATGATCTTTTTTGTATATTGAATAAATGTTTACCCATTATAATTTTGTATTTTTCTGTTCTTGAAATAATAGAGAGAGTAAAAACATTAAAAAGAAAAATGAAATGAAGGCTTTTCGGAATTTCCCTTGTGGTTATTTTTTTAATCATAGAACAAATTAAAATATATTTTATATGCAATTTTTATTAGTAAAAGGAAAGAATTCGAATGGTAGGTTATTGCTTTTCCTTAACTCAATTTTTTTTTACACTTGATTTTTGTAAAAACAATTTTAACCCTTTTCTAGTCTGCACTCCAGTTCCCATGACTTTGAACTTCAATTCTGGCTTCACTTGTTAGTTTGAGATAAAACAAGTGTTGGTTTACAGTTCAAGAGGTAATTTTATTTTTGCAGATAAACGCGTTGTTATCTTCCTTTGAAAGACGCATGCCATGTGGTGGGGTAACCAATAGTGAATCCAACATAAAGTTTTTCTATCGCATATGTTAAAAAAAAATCTATAAAGGACCTCAATTTGAACCCTCTAAATCCTTTAAGTAGAACTGGTCATGGAAACACATCACCCCTTTGACGAAATAACGTCAAGGGAACTACATTATCCAAAATCTATAATCGCTGCTAAAAATGTATAGATCCGAAATTTTCATATTTTCGAATCTATTACATTATTAGATACACAGAAACTAAAAAAAATAAAAAAATAAAATATAAATTCGTTCAATGAAACTACTTAATTCAAAAATTGCAGAATTAAGGCTTAACAGCTTTATAGCCGTTTAGAACTTATTTTTTGCTGTTTTGATTCTGTTTTTCAAAAATTTACAAATGGATAAAAATTTGACTGATCAATTATAAGTTTGAAAGAAAATTAGACAGGAATTCAAGTCAAGATATTTTTATTAGGTTTGCCGACGTTTTGACCTAAACTTGTGTTTCATCCTCAAGCCTATCGTTTGGAAGTTGAGACGAAAGCTTGCGTTGAAACCTTGGCAACAATCTTAAAAATTGACAGCTTCCTGGCTAGTTACCATCCAGGTTCTGTAAAAAGTTTAGTTGGAAATTTACGAGGTAAAGTTCTGGTTCCGAAATACCAGAAAAAAAAGATGAAAATAATGATTCCAATCATACCATCATACTAGCGGATCCAGAATGTAATTTTGGGGGGAGGATCACCCCGAAAATTTTTTTTAAATATTCATATAACGATTATTAATTTGGAAGAAGAAGAAACAAACTACTTATATGGAATGGTGTTAAAGTGATTCTTGAAGTCCTATTAAATTTAATTACACGAACAATAAAATTTTTGGAGATAATTTTATAATATTTCTTTCATAAGACATGGTTATATTTTACCATTTTGGGGACTTCAGCCCGAAAGCCCTCCCCGTAGATCCGCTTGTACCAGAAATGATTAAAAATAAAAGTCTAAATTTATATTCAACCTATAATGTTATTTATACATCTCGTCAAGTTAAATCCAATGAATAAAATACACAAGAATCATTTTTTTATTTTTTTTTAGTTTGAATAATATATAATTTTGCAACTTTTAATTCTGTAAATTATATTGAGAAAAAAAAATCAGGAAATTTTTTAATCCAGTATATATTTTAATTAATTTATCATATTTCTTGAAGTAACAGTTAATATCTATAATATAGGTGGATATTATAGATATAGTTTTACCATTTATATATATTATATATTATAATGCCCTAACCCTTCCCAAATACTACTTACAACAAAGGCGAAACTCTTCATGATTGACGAGATGTGGTCAGCGGAAGACTGTTGCCGTGGACTGACAGCGGCGATGTTATATACCTGGATCCAGCAAGGCCAGGAAGGGGTGGACCTCGAAGGACCTCCAAGACATCGCGGCATTGACCCACAGTCCGGGCAGGAGTCTTTGTTTGCCCGATAAGTCGCTCGTCACACGATGTTGGCTAAGATATGGAGTACACTATACTGTGTCTGATATTGGAGCGATCTATTCATACACAAAGTAATTACTAGTGTTTGTACAAGAACTAGATCTTCTTTCTGCATTCTAAGATATTTGTATTTAAATCAGGATAAAAATTATAGGTAGGTCCTAGATAATACTTGCTAATATAATGTAATAAATTTGTTCAATGATCCTAAAAAATCGTCCAGAAATATACAGTATTTCGTAATTGCACGGAACTATTTTAGGTATGTGTTCACTAAAACAAAATAAACAAAAAAAGTTCATATTAACATATATCTCAAAATCATTTATTAAACAGATATCAAAGGTTAAAGATTTATTTTTTGTGAACTACATTAAGACTGACTGTACAAAGTTTAACTTGTTTAATACTTAATAAAAGGTTTTAATCACCTGATAAACAAATGAACGATAATTAATGACATTAGTTGCTCATCTGTTTGTCTAGTTCTGTGTGTTTTAGTGTGAGTGAATACTGTGACACAGTTCAATTTATGATTATCATGGGAGACACCATAAATTTATTCACTTTTGCAGAAGAAACAGACATGCTTTTAACTTATGGCGAGGTACATAGAAACGGTGCTGCTGCTGTTCGAAGATATCGCGAAAAATTTCCTAACCGAAGAATATCAAATCGTAAAACGTTTGAGGCCATTGAAAGACGCCTTAGGGATAATGGCACGCTAAAACAAAGAGTTCGGCGAACTGCAAACTTTGAAGAAGAAATTCTCGATGCTGTTCAGTTATCTCCTACTACTAGTACCAGAAGATTGTCACGTTGTTTCGATGTTTCCTCTACCAGCTAATGGCGAACAAAAATTGTATCCATTTCACGTATCGGGTAGGCAAAATTTGTTACCACAAGATTACAACAAGCGCAGAAATGTCTCCCAGTGGTTAATTCGACAATGCACCCGAGATCCTAACTTCCTCAACTGCATTTTGGTTACTTATGAATCTTGCTTTACAAGAAACGGGATTCTTAATTTTCGAAATGCCCATAATTATACTGAAAATACATACATACGAATGCTGTTGGACATTAGAAACATACCTTTTCTTTAAATATCTGGTGTGGTCTTCTAAGCGACAACATCATCGGCCGCTTCTTTTGATCACCTAGGCTGTCAGGTATATATTACTTGCATTTTTTCGCAAAATAATCTTTATGAACTCCTGGAAGATATTCCGCTAGGCATTAGGGAAAGACTGTGGTTTATGCATGACGATGCTCCAGCTCACTTTTCTAATGGTGTCACTGATTATTTAAATGCAACTTGTGAAGACCGATGGGTTGGTTGAAACGGACCTGTTAAATGGCCAACACGATTTCCGGATTAACGCCATTAGGTTATTTTGTGTGGAGCTAGATGAAATCTATGGTTTATTCTGCGGCAGTTGGCACGCAAGAAGAGCTAAGAAATCGGATCGTTGAAGTCGCAGTAACTATCAAGCACCATCCTGATGCTATACGAAGAGCCAGAGAAGCATTCAACAAAATGGAGGGCCCTTTGAACAGATACTCTAAATGTTTTAATAATAATAAATAAATAGTAATAAATAATAAATCTCTAAAAGCCAGAATACGACATTATAACACGGTCGTCAAGCCAGTGGTACTCTACGCAACAGAAACTTCTTGTCTTCCCAGCCTAGAAAGCCTTCTGAAAATAGAAAGAAGAATTCTCAGAAGAATCTACGGGCCTAGGAGAACACCTGAAGGATACAGGTTGAGGTCAAATGAGGAAATATATAAAGAAACAACGGATCTAGAAACTGACGCTAGGGTGGGAAGGCTGAGGTTCTATGGACATATGATGAGGATGAATCCTGAAAGACTTAACCATAAAATCTTTCAGCGCATCCACAGTCATAAGAATGTAAGCGGGTATTTTAAACAGATTAAGGATGATATGGACCAAGTGGGGCTAAGAGACCAAGATTGTTTAGACAGAGATGAGTACAGGAAGGCGCTCAAGAGAATAACGGTTCTTGCGGGCAAGAAGCGCTCCAAAAAGGGTGTTGCGTGGTCTGAGGAGAGAAAACGTAAGCACGCGGAGCTCATGAGGGGCATATGGGAGAAGAGGAGGCAGATGAAGAGGAAGCATTAACTTCATGGTATTCGCGTGGTCTTTAAGGCCTGTTCGTGAAAAAAAAAAAAAATAAAAAAAAAATCTTAAACCTTTCCTATCTGTTTAATAAATAAGTTTGAGATATATGTCAATATGAACTTTTTTATTTATTTTGTGTTAGAGAACGCATACCTAAAATAGTGCCGTACAATTATGAAACACCATGTATATACTGCTTATAAAGGAATAGGGATATTGTTAATTATGTATGATTTATTTTCTCTGGAATTTTCATCATAATATGCATTGAAAATTAATATAAATAAGGTTGTATTTTACCTCAGGAAATTTATTAAAATTGTTTAAAAAAATTAAAGGTTTTTGTAATCTTGTTTTTATAATTGTGAACTTTAAACATTTTGCAAAATTTAATAATTTCCTCTGTTACGTACTACCTGTTTGCACCAATTAGGCATACTATTTATAGTGATGTCACTGATTTCGCAAGAAATTTCATATGTAATAAACACGATAATACTGCTCTCAGTTGATAAAGGTTAAGAAGCTGCTGATAGTGGTTAAAAAGCTTTTTTTTTTTTCAGTACATCCCACATGTACTCTATGGCTTTGAGATCTGAAGACAACATGTTAGATGTCACAGATTTGTGATGTTCAGATTTCTTGGAAATATGTCTTGGGTTGTATATTGATGAACAACTTTTCCTCTTTAAGGTCGCGTATTGTCCCCAACAATATGGAAAACTGTACCAATTATGGCCATGTTTTGAGAAGTTTACTCCTTTGTAATTTCTTGAACTTGAAGAACTGCAATTAGATTACCTTCCACAATAATGAGTTCAGTCAATCCTCCTGAGTAGATTGCTTTAAACTGTGGCAGTGTACCCATTTCCTGTTCTCGAAAGACTCTTCAGCGCCTACAATCGCTATAAATACAGAAACGTGACTCTTCTTTAAAATAACAGTATTCCAATTTGTTATCTCATCTAACTAGGCGGTCAGTGCACTATTTGCGGAGTTACATGTGACGAACTATTTTCGTAGGTTCTCTTAAAGCGGCGTAAAATGTTAAACCAACTTCTCACAAACGATTACGAATGGTTTAAATTGATATGGGCCTTGGTAGAACAATAGACAATTCATATAGGCTCTATCGATCACTATGAAAAGGCACGCTTCTTGCAGTAATTCTAATATTTCTGTTACTCCTTGGTGCCATAATGTCCTGACATACTGTCTCCTTTTGGTACTTTCGTTTTTTTTTTTTTTAATCTGGATAAAGCATCAAAGCGACACTAACTGTAACGGCGATATCCACTGCACACGATGCCTTTGATCGTACTATGATATTACAAATTTCTGGTTCAATATGATACCTCTCCTTCGTTAAACAGAATATTATTGGATTAAACAGAAAAGTCGGAAAGAACTGGTGTTTTACAAAATGATTATTCTTCATGTTGACTATCGTTAAGTCAATAATTTATTAAAAATAAAGAATACTTGTTGTTTACTTATTATGTTTACCAACAAATAAAGTTATTTTAATTAAAACGAATAAAATAATCATCAAATAGAAATATTCCTATTCATTTTAGAGCAGCATATATATATATATATATATATATATATAAAGAGGGAGTAAGACACTATGCTTCTAAGCACACCATTTTGTGCAACTGTAATTTATAACCAATCCAGCTGTAAATATTTATCTTGCCGTATTAGTTCCATATACTATGATTTATATCAAGTGGATTATAATTTTTTTAAATTTCACTGGCTTATATATGGAATATATAGTAAGGGAATGTGCTGCGATTATGAAAATTTTCGATTCTGCGTTTTCAACAGAAATAAATATTTTGAGGTCCACTGAGTCGAAATAACCAAGTCCCGCAAAATGGTCTGTGTGTGAGTATGTTAACAGTCAAGCTCAAAAACTAAAAGTCGTAAGAAACTGATATTACGTATTTAAGATAGGTATATGCCTTACATGTGATTGCAAGTTTTTCCTTAAAATCGGTTAACCGGAAGTGCCACTTTATATTAACGGTGAAACACATTTTTACAATTTTCTCAAAAATGGCTCTAACGATTTTGATTGAACTAGGTAAGAAAGTGTATTATTAAGTTGTTTTTAATATCAGCTAGGTCTTATCAACATTGATGTCACTTTAAAGGGCTTAAATGCCCCAAGGTTCATATACGTCTTCCTCAAAAGTTCGTTTAATTTGGTATATTTAAAAAAAATAACTCTATTATTGGCAGTAACTATAACAAATGGCTAAATATGAAGTTGGAAAGAATATGATATTTGGAAACTGGAGAAACAAAGAAAAATGCTTATCCAGGTTGAAAATGAATCTACGGAAATAACAGTCAGAAGTATAATATATAATATATCGTTGAAAAGCGGAGAATTTTAGAAAAATAATATCAAATAAATAAAGTTGTAATAGGTAACGGAGAGTGACGAAAGAAATTATTATTTCAGAAAACTAACATTATTTAACGTAAATCACATGCTTCAAATGAAATTATGTTACTAAATATAAACTTTTAGATTATTTTTAAGTTTGAAAAAAAGTATTTAAAATCCACCGAATCAGCATACCAATACCATTGTTTAAAATTCGATTTAACTGTACTTGTGTGAAAAAAGAAGTGAAATATAAAAATATTTCATGGATTTATTTATAACCTCGAACATATTTATTACAGAGTATTAACTCTAGATATGATATTATATTTAAATGATTAGGTATCTATCGCCCGTTTATTCCAAAAAATCATCAATTAATCTTTTAGAAAATTAA